CATGTCTGCGCAGCATCCCCCTCCCCGGGAGGGGGAAAGGGGAGCCCCAGACCCCCGCGCCGGCGATCCCCGCCCCAGTTCCTCAGCTGATGGGATAATGCACGGTCGTGTGGCTCCAGCTCCGGTCTTGTCTCAGTGCTGTGACTTGTTTGCAGCTCTTACGGTGGTCGTGTGAGCTGGGAGTAGTATTCTCAGGTACTCGGGCTGCATGTGCTTAGGGTCACCTTCCCTGAGTGCCCTGTAAGTACTGCCCTTGGGGCTTGGGGTTGCCTTCCACAAGTCACCTTGGGTCTATCTCTGTTGGCTTTTCGCTGCTTGGCGTTTGGCCGCCCCGAGTGTTTGGGGGTTTTACTCCCTTGTTTACCTTGGGGTAAGTGGTAGTTATAGCACTGGTGAGGCGCACGGTTCTGAGTAGCTATTTTCACCTATGACAGTGGCCGGCTCTGTTCCCTCTGGGTACGTTGTCCACTTGTGTGGTTTTTCTTTTATATTTGTTTTTGCCCGGTAGGGGGGTCTGCCTTGTGTTCTCCCCCCCCCCTTATATTAGGTTCGTTTGTGTGGTGGCACCCCCTGCTTCGCCCTCACGGGTGGACACGTCCCGTGGGTTCAGCTTTAGCAGTTTGCTTGGTAGTTTGGGGTGCCGGTTAGCAGTGCCCTGCCTGGGATAACCCTTAGCAGACCCAGTCTAGGGGCCCTGGGAAACCCCCCGGGGGCTCTCGGGGGGGGGGGGGGGGGGGGTGTTTCTCCGATAGTGGAGACCCTTGCGTTCCCTCTCGCTTTGTGCGAGTTGAGGGTTGCTCTGTCCCTTTGTCTCAGGGTGACTCTCCTTGTTTTTGCCTCCGTCATGCTGCCTGTTAGGTCGGTGACACATTCGACCCCGAGTCCTGTGAGCTTGGTTGCTTGTTGGCGACTCCATTCACCCAGTCTGTTGATGAATTCCCGTGGGTGCAGGCAGCTCGCGCGTTGCAGGGTAGGATGTTGCAATGTGCTCAGGTTTGTCGCTTTCCCGGACGCCCCGATGCTGCCCCGCTTGTGTAGGGACCCAGACTTGGGGGTTTTGGTCGCTTCGACCTTGGTTCTTCCACACCCTCCTTGTTTTTTTCCCCTCCTGCTTCCGGCCCCTACGCATCTGCAGGCTTCGGGGTTGGGGCGGGGTTAAAGGTTCTGAGACTTGGGCAGTTTCAGGGGTTGCCCCGTCCGGGGTAGCTGCGGAGGCATTCGAGTCTGTTTCTCTGGCCGATGCTCCGGGGTCTGACCAGTAGGCCCCTTCTCTTCCAGCTCTTTCGGCTGCCCCGGCTTTTTCTTGTGGGGCCGGGGCTTTGGAGGTCGACTCGGCCCCAGGGCCTGGTGTAGAGGTTCTCAGGGTTGGGGAGGAGCGGCCTTGGGGGCCTTGGGCTCCATTGCGCCCCGCTTTGATTTCCGTTTTTCTGAGCGGGGCTTACTGTTGCGAGGAGTGGGGTTTTCTTTTCCCCCCTCTGCGTACGATTTGGGCTTGGGTTCTACTCCTCCCCGGGTTCGGTTCCGTGTCCCTGTGATTTCTTCGGTAACGTCTTCCGGAGGTTTTCGGCTAACCGCATCTCTTCGCCTGCGGTGCGGTTGGCCTTTGCGGCTTACCTGCTGCGTGTCCCGGAGTTTGCCTCCATACTGGCTCCTTCTGTTCTGGCCAGGTTGGGTTCCTTGTAGCCGTTTGGGCTCCTTTGTAGCCGTTTTGGGCTCCTTGTAGCCGTTTTGGGCTCCTTGTAGCTGTTTTGGGCTCCTTGTAGGCGTTTTGGGCTCCTTGTAGGCGTTTTGGGCTCCTTGTAGGCGTTTTGGGCTCCTTGTAGGCGTTTTGGGCTCCTTGTAGCCGTTTTGGGCTCCTTGTCGCCGTTTTGGGCTCCTTGTCGCCGTTTTGGGCTCCTTGTCGCCGTTTTGGGCTCCTTGTCGCCGTTTTGGGCTCCTTGTCGCTGGTACACTGCACACGCTATTTCTACCGTCACTGTGGCTCAGTTGGGTGCTCGGGTTCCGCCTGTGTCCCCTTGTGTGCCACTCGCGTGTGATTTATCTGTCTTCTCTGTCGCTTCCTCGGGGAGTGTGGTGACGTTTTGCTGCGGTTTTGGTACTGCGGCTGCGTGTAGGGGTTGGTTGTGGCATTATGTTCGGCCCTTCCGTGCTCCCTCTGGGGCCCTCCTTCCTTGCCGGTCTTGCTGTGCTGGGCCTGGTTTTTCCATGTTCCTTGGATTCTCTGTCTTGTCCTCACCTCGTTGTGCTGGCTGGGGATGAGCTTGGGGTCTTCGTCTCGCCCCTCGCCTATCCTCCGATTTTGGTTCAAGTTCCAGAGCCTAGTGGGCTCCCTTCCTTAGTGTTTTTCACGGCTGCCCCGGGGTTTTTCTTGACGCTGGGGCTTTGAGGGGACAGCTTGGCCCCGGGGCCTGCAGGGTGGGTTCCCGGGGCTGGGGTGGGGCTAACGTGAGGGGCCTCAGGCCCCGTTGGTCCCTGCCGGGGTATTTCTACCCCTCTAGGCGGGGCTTGCGGTTTGGTGGTGTGGGGTTTTTCCGTTCCCCCTCTCCGCACATGCCTTGTGGGCGTCGGCCCCTCCCTGGGCTTGGTTCCTTGTCCATTGTGCCCGTTGCTTTCCGTCCTGTCGGTGGGTGCTTTTCTATGGTCTTCGCCCCTTTTTTCCGGGACGGGCCTTCTCCGTCATGTCCCCCTCTTCTTGGGGTTTCTGCACGACTTTTGGTCTCAGGTGCGACCGGGTTTTTGTGCCTTCGTCCTTTGTGTTTGCTTCTTGTTCTTTTATGCATATCTCTTCTCTTCGCGCTGTCTCGGCGCTACTCGTTTTTCTGGGGGAGATTTTGCTCCTCTTAATGAGTCTTTTTGCTCCTGCCCTTCTGTGGGTTCTTGGTGCGGGGTGGCTCCTTATGCAGGTTCCTTCCCTGTCGGCTGCAGTTGTGGCGGTGGACCTGCACGCTTGTGGCATTTTGGTTTTGGTCCTGCGTTTTCTTTTCCCTCTTGGGGCTGTCATAGGATTGGCTTGCGGAGGATGTAGAGGCGCTTGGGGCCGTTCCTGGGTCTGGCACCTTGGTTTCTGCTGCTAGCTTTCGTTATCGATGTTCCTTCTGTGCCGTTTCGCAGGCTGTCTCGTGCGTTGCTTCACCTCCGGCCTGCTTATGCACTGCCTGTGCCGTCCTGGTCTTTGGACAGGGTGCTCTCCTGTTTTTCTTCTCCTTGGTGGTTGTGGCTCCTTGGGGTCAGGTTTGCTTTGCCTTGGCTCTCTTTTTATGTTGGCATTGGCCTCTGGGGGTCGTGTGGCAGAGTTCATGCTCTTCTCAGGCGCAGTGGTTTTTGGCTCTTATGGTCGTGGTCATAGGTTTCTTCATCTGCGGCCGTTCTCCCTTTTTCTGGCGTATGATGTGCCTGCTGCTTTCCGGATGGGTCCTTGGGTTGTTGTCTCGACTTCGTGTTGAGGAGTGGTTCACCGACCGCCTCCCGGGTATGTCTCCTTCTTTTCTTAGGTAGTCTTTGGTGAAGTAGCTCCGGGGAGCTGTAGGGGTTTTCCCCCAGAAAACCAGCGTTGAATGTAATGAAACGCCATTTTCTAGGCGAGTCCCGGAGGCTCCCCGGCACCCTCCCGCCCTCCGGTCGGCTTTGTTTTTTCGTGGTTTTGATATCCAGCCTCAGAACTGGGGCGGGGATCGCCGGCGCGGGGGTTTGGGGCTCCCCCTTCCCCCTCCCGGGGAGGGGGGAGCTGCGCAGACATGCGGCGCGGCTCATTTGACGTCATGCTTGTTAGTTCGTTTTCCTGGGGAGTTCTGTCCACTCGTTTGTCGATTTTTGTTGTTAACCAGAATAGGGGTTTGTTTTGTGGCACTTACCTTTCTGGGTGCCTGTCCCGGTCGATGGCAGATATAGAATGCTCAAAATCAGCAATTTCTATGGGCCATTGCTCTCCGTGCCTCTCTGAGGAGACCAGGTTCTGGCTCGTGGTCCCTGGTAGGCCTAGAACTCCACCCACATCGACTGATGCAAAATAGTTAGGGTATCCATATCAGCCATGGATAGCTCCGGGGAGCTGTAGGGGCTCACCCAGAAAATGGCGTTTCATTACATTCAACGCTGGTTTTTTTCTTATTTGTTTATCGGATGACTTGCATGAAACTTGTACACCTGACTGCACGTAAGCCTATCTGTAAGGGTGCCAAGGGGGCCAGGAAATTGGTTGATGTCAACCTCAGCCACAGATGGCAGCACCTTAGATTTATTTTTTATCTATTTATATTCAAGTAACATAAACGTTCCTGAAACTCTTTAATTTTTTCTTCAATTTACATGAAACTTACACATTATATATAGAGTTTCTCTTTACAAATCTGTAAAAATATTTCTCCTAAGTTCATTTATTGATTTTATAATACTGTAGTAATAAACCATGATAAATTTGCATAATTTGTTCATGGAACTTTGACTATTTGTATTAGTAAAACTAAATAAATTTAAAAAAATCCGCTAGACAGATCCTTTTATTATATGCTATTGTGATAGAAAAGCGTCATAGAAATGATTTCATTTGTAACGTGTGGTTGTAATTTCGATTTGAAAATGTGTAAAATTCGTTAAAAAAAAATCTCCCTTTCTATTTAGGCTGCAGTACTGAAACTTGGAACAATTGCAGCCCTTTTCATATACAACTAGTGAAAAACGATTTGTTGACATTGAACAAGTTTTATAAAACTGACTGACTGCCCCCTTAAACCAGCTTATACTAATCGCATTAGCCCTATATAATCAAAGATGGCATGGGGGGGGGGGGACATAAATGTCAAAGGTCACCTCTTATAGTAGTGAAGATGTAAAAATTAGGTGTTTAACATTTTAAGAGATGGTGTTGGGAATAAGGTACTGTATTGACATTGCTGTAGCAGTTCATTTATATCTGATACTTTAACTGGTTGCTTATGTATCTAGTATTTGAAGCATACGGTGGTATGTCTTACATATAGTAACGCTGTGTGTAAAAATAATAGATATGCCGTTGGACTTCCGGACTGAAGAAGAAAATGCACTTGCAGGCAATCTCCCAAATTCCAACTCCAGTGTCAAGTCGGCCTTCCATTCGTACTTCCAACTCTGATAACTCCAGCAACAAAAATACACAAGGCCCTTCCAATAACCATGGTATGAAACCCCCAAGCTATTCCAAACGGATTGAATCTTCGGGGCCAGCAGTGACTGTGTTTGTAGGCAATATCACAGAGAAGGCGCCAGACGTGATGGTTCGGCATATTCTGAACACTTGTGGTAATGTGCACAGCTGGAAGAGGGTTCAGGGAGCCTCTGGCAAATTACAGGGTAAGGAAATATACAGTAGTTTTTATTTGAATATGTATATGTATATATGTACAGTATACATTTTTGTCTTCATATTTTGTATGCTATATGATGTAAATTCAAAGTAAATTCAAAGTTAGATGAATTGGCTTTTCTTGTGCTGTTTTAATAATGTCTTAACAGTTTTGCTTTTTCATTTTTTTCCTGTAATACCCAGTGAGATACCCCATGTAGATATTATTGAATGATTTAGGTTAGGAATTTGTGTATAGCCACAATATACGGTGGATGAGCATGTAACATTTCAGCTTTTGGAGTGCGCAACATTTCAGCTTTTGGATTCTGCGAGTTTGGGAACCCAGATGCAGCCCTTCGAGCAATCAGACTTCTGCACGACTATGAGATTGCAGAGAAGAAATTAGTTGTCAAAGCTGATGCCAAAACTAAAGAAGTTTTAGATGATTATAAAGGTAAGCATTTATGCTTTCTCAATGATCTAATAGGTTGTAGTGGGATTTTGTGATCTTTATATCAAGATGTCTTTTCTTACTATTCATGGATTAGAAATGTCTTACAGTATAGAGAACACAGTAGTAATGAAGTTACTGTACACAGGATAGTAATGAAGTTACTATGTGCAGTATTTTCATTACTACTGTGTTCTCTGTAATACAGTCATAGAGTGTACAGGCATCAGGTCAAAGTACATAGAAGAACATCATATGAAAATTATGCTTAATATTTCAAACCATTACACCAGTTCATTTGCCATATCTTATCCCTTACACAGAATCATGGAAAGCCAAAACCTCTACCCTCTTGCACATCCTCCATCATCTTAATGTGTTGTATATTTAACGCATTTGACCAATCAATTTAAAATACAACATACATTATTAGTAAAAATTAAAGCACTATAGTACTGATGTTTTCTATGTATCGGCCTCAATCGGTTGAATGGATTGCCTGGTGTTTGTTTCTGGTTAGGCCAAATGGGGAGTGGAGAGCGTGGGGTGCTCTCTGGGGTGCAGCCACAGCACCACTCCACCACTTGGTAAGGCTGGGTGCTTAGCTTTCTCCTTTAGTTGCCATGTACAACTTTTGTCACATTCACTTATGCCAGGGAGCTATTTGAGCACCATTGACCTTATCTGGCTCTCACATGCCATGTTTTCTCATAATGTAAACCATTCATCCCCTCTGACCACAGACCTCGTACTTCTTCACTCTCTCATCATTCGTGTGTGTGTGTGTGTGTGTGTGTGTGTGTGTGTGTGTGTGTGTGTGTGTGTGTGTGTGTGTGTGTGTGTGTGTATAAACCATCTAAATATACCTTAGTTTTACAGTTTTACTTCATCTTTCCACATGTGCTCTATGTAATCAAATATCTTAATGTTCAGAGATATTGAATGGTGACTGCTACACATGAGCTTTCTCTGCTTTGTTGAAAATATTTACCTTTATTAATATTTAAATATATATACCCCATCATAAGTATTGTATTGCTAGGCAATGTACTAACAAACAAACAAAAATTCACTTTGCATTCTGACCAATGTTTTTGTTTGACAGAGAAAAGAAAGAAAGCTAAGCAAAATGGTGATTCTTCTCCATTACAAGATGAGTTAGATGAAGGTGATGACTATCTTGATGAAGATATGAGATTAGAAGATGCTGCAGCTCTGAGGCGTATAAACGAGATTCTCTCAGACCATAAGAAAGATATCATGAACTACATCGCACCCCCAAACAAGCACGACATGAGAGAAAAGCGTATGTCCAAAGTACAAGAAAAGCTAGTGGCATTGTCTAGTGGGGCCGATATTGCAAACATCCCCACCACAACGGTAAGATATCCTCGAGATTTGCATATGCATTCTTTCCAATTTAATTGTCATGACTATCTTTGGATTGAGAGATTTTTGGATTAAGTTGAAACTTATTTGGGCTTTGAAGCCCTCTACATAACTAAACTCTTTCCTTGTTTGATATAAAATTTATGATATAAAGGTATAATTACTTATCCTTTATATTTTGTAGATGCTACAGTATTCAATATTAAAATGTGAATGAAAAAATTTACTAGACATCCATAGTGTTTGAATGAAGGTTAAGAAAAGACCCAATACCTGTGTAAATGTAATATGAAACCAAATTTTTGGACAAAACCTACATCTATTATCAAGGGGATGTTTAATATTGTTTGACAGCAACTTCAAAATTAGAATGCTATAGTTTTTAAATGTTGAGATAGTACAGTGCAGGGATAAAAATTATTTGGAAAAACATAAATTCTTTAAATATTTGAGCATCTCAAAACCTGAATCATATCATTCATTTTTTGTAAACAGGTTGGTTAGTTTCTTTACATGTATATTCATTTTTCAGAATTTGGATGACATGGAAGATGTGGAGGAGGGTAAAAAAGAGCTGATCACGCGAGAGATTACACAATTCCGGGAGCAAATGAAGGTAGGGTATTAAATCTTGCATATTGATCGTCGCTTTACGACTGTTGCAGGCAGGAGACAACGGACATTTTGCAACAGATTAAGGCCCTCAAGGGATTGATTGGGGATTTGGTAACTATACTGTTTTTATATTGTGCTCAAATGCTAAAATAGGTTGTTTACATGTTCAAATATCAGCATTACAGAGATCATATAAAATGATCACTATATTTCAATGCCTGTTGTTTCCTGCTCCAAGTCTGATTTAAATAAAACCTCATACTATTTGTACATTCTCCTTTGACATTATTTAAACTGTATGTGACATGATCAACTCTTGCTATGTGTAGATTCACATGAAGCTTGAGGGGTCCTCCTTAAAGGATATCAAATTAATGTGGACACTGTTCATCCCAGTTGCTCATGTCTCGTATATGTTTCATGTAACATATAAATGCTCATTAGGCATAGGCTTACAGCATTACTGTACTCAGTTTGATATCGGTAGACTTTTACAAGCGAGTTATTCTTGCTCAACATGACAAAAGTTGCTGGCTGACGAACTTTAACTTGAGGGTAGTTGAATCTCCATTATTTTAATTAAATGGGAACAGATTGTGAAAATCAATTTAGTTGCCATAATGCAGGTACTGCTGAGGTAGACTGTATTACAATAAAAGCCAGTGGCCTAGTGTCTCCAGAGGCAGGAGACATTCTTGTGTGTGTACATTTACCATTATGAGGGTACAGTAATTTGAGATAGTTATAAAGAAACAAATTTGATAAAAAAAATGTAAATGTATTTTAGTTAACCCCTGCACTGCTCAACTGTTTTCGGCAAAGGTTTTGTGGTGCCGTTGTTAATGACAACATTAACTTTGAAACATGAGTAATGTCAAGTTGTTTCTAGATTCAACTATTTTAATTTCAAATTGGAATCAACAAAAATAAAAATATGGGTTAATTAAAAACCCACAACCTTCAGAATGCCTTAAGGTGCTATGCACAGTCTAGTGGTTAATTACTGACAATACTCATGAAAACACAGAGTATTGTCAGACCAAGATTTATTTATTATATATATACAGTACTATTTTGTGATTTATTGACTTAACCCAAAAGTGAATTTATGACATATGTTAAATTCTTTTAGTATTAAAGGTGAAAAGATTACATAAAGCCTCAGAACTTACCCAATAAACATGTTTAATAATCCTCATAGTTGATAATGAAGTTCATCAACCTGTGGCACTGTTAGAATTGTCATATTGAGGTAGAATAGCTCATGCCATACACTTGAGAACAATTGATATTAAAATATTTATAACAAAGACACCTTAGAAAACTAAGAAATATGGTTGCACATCCAGGCATATATGGCAGAAATTCTTTGTTTCTATGGCAATGTTTTGTCTGCCCTAGACCTGCCTAGTCACACCTCCACATGATTGTTAATAGAGCTAAGACTATCCTCAGGCAATACCCTCCCCTGAATCTTTCTATTGTCATATTCTGCCAGTTTAAGCTTCCAATCTGTTAGATCTTTATTTTTTCATTGCTTTGTGATTATAAAATAACTAAATATATATATTGAGAACAGGAGTAACTTTTTCTAACTTTTATAATCACTTTGTCACTTGTATTTTTTAAGATTATATCGCTGATTATGTGAAATTGATAACCTAGTGTTTTTCGAAAAGAAGACACAAACATAATGTGTAATTCTCAAACATAGGCAGTCATAGAGTTCACACGCGGGCAGACGACAACTGTCATGTATGTTTTGTGCCAGCGACGGTGAGTACAGCATCTAATAAAGCACTTTAGTTTGTAACAGAAACAAAAGTTCATTTGGCCTGGGGCAAGGTAGTCCAGACTGTTTTTGTATTGAAAATCAGCTTTTCCTTTTCATGGGATCTCTTTTATGTAAGGATCCACATGTTGAGATTGAAGTGTTTCATTCAGTACAACATCTCTGATGTCTTGTGACTGCCAGTTTTCTCACTCATGAGATCTTATGTCTGGTTTAGATACCAAAGAGGATGAGTTCAATGAACATATGGTTGAAATTATCTTCTATTAGTATTAGACAGTTTTGACCATATTTCCACACCACCTTGGCGGTATTTATATTTTTTTAAGCGGACGTGTTACCTGTAGTCAATCATCTACCCGCTTGGTCCAGCAACTTAACCTGCTATCTCCTTGACCGGCTCCTGCCAGCACACTGACCCATCTCTCTTGTCCAAACTCCTCGTTAAGCCTTCATGATTGTTAACAACGTACTCTCATAACTCTGCTAGTTTCTGGATTATGAGGGGTAGTTTGGCAATTGTTTTAGTTGTTCAGGAAATCATATGCCAGGGTAATTCTTGATTTGTTTCATAGTTTATATGTAAACCAAGAATTTTGCAATATTCTGATATTTGAAAATATGCCTATGTTAACCTAAAGATATTGGCACAAAACCAGGTGCAATAAAAGCTAATGGCAGAGATTTTTTGTCTGCAATAGAGAAACACTTAACTCCAGTTTTGCCATTGCCAGAACATAATTTGTGCTGGATATAGATACCTTATAACCCTTGTCAGGTAGTGACCCATTTATCTTAGGAAAGTTCCAGCTCGAATTACTTGACACGAAAATTGACCGTCATTAGCCTCTATTCCTTTTGGCTTTAAAAGTCTTTAGTAATATCACTGTCATATTTTATTCAAAGAAAGTACCCAGTAATTTAAAATTTATATACTATGCATTCATTTTATCTTTTTCATTGCAAAGTGAATTAATAATTTTATTTACTATTTGGTTATTTATTGAGCTTGGGCTAGAGAGTGTCAGTGTGACTGATGAGTGAGGCTGTTGTTTAATTACATTGGTTTTTTCTTTCCTTTCTTATTATTTTTACATAGTTGTGGAGCATAACATTAGTTATATGAGGATGTTTAGCACTTGGTAACTCCATGCCTATGTTACTCTTTGTTTGTTGTTAACCTGGGAGGGAGGGAGATGGGGTCGAAGATCGTAAGAGAGGTCCCAACACCAGGTAAGGACTGTAATGTCACACCGCTTGATAGTACCTGAATCTCAGTTACCTGTCAACTTAGATGAGGAAGGGAATACTAGGTTCATATATTATTTTATTCAGTGAGAAGCATGCTATATTGTGAGGTAACAATGACAAGTGCGTGCGCAAGATGAGTAAACTGGTAATTTTGGGCATAAGGATGAATGTTGGAAACTCGTCCTGTCAAACATTGGTTTTACAGTTTTAACCCACCAGTGCTTTATTTTAGGATATTAAAGATAAATTTATTTGATAATTGAAGAACAAAGCTCATATTCTGAACAGGCTGTTTTATACCCAGTTTTTTATGACGTTCAGATGTCAAGAAATTAAATTTAGTTAACTCACTAAACATTAAAATGATTTTTCTTGGGGTAGTATTATAGTGTTAACCCTTGATTACCTTTTAATATGCATTATTTTAGTTTTTAATTAGTGAACAGTAGATTTATTGTATCCATTGTCATCTTGACTTAGAGATTCCATTTGCCTTGGAATCAAACATTTCGGTACATTTCTATGAGGGCATTTGAATGTAATGTAACTCTTGTACAAGGTGAGACTAGCCCGAATACGGAGAATTTTATTCACTTAGTGAACTTTGTTCTTCATTTCATACTCATGCTTAAAGGATTTCTGAAGAAGGTAGACTAATTATATAAAGAAATGTTAAATTCCTGATGGCATATATTGCATTATCAACAGCTCATCCAGTGCCAGTAATGATTGATTGATGGGGGTTTCTGACACAGACGGGCTGACGTCTGATAATTGCATCGCTTCTCGTCTTGTGTCTCTGCCATACATTTGGTTGAAACCCTGTTGTGATTGATGATAAATGGGTATAGGAAGGTTCCACGGACCTGGTCAGGAGGATTTAAGCAAGCTCCCTTTTTTATAGTTTTAATGACAGATTTGATATGGCTTCATTCAGTGACATTAAAACAGTACTAAATTACTGTTGGTGAGCTGTACGTAACTCCTGGCCTGCGGTCAAAGCATTTTAGGGTGGAACTTCCCCACAGAATCTGTCAAGGATGCGCATCTGAAGGGAGAGTTCGAGGCCGGATGTTGTTATAGACTATCCCTTCGTTCTCTCCTCCCATCTCCCCTCAACCCCGGGCTAGGCTTGCCTGACAGCGACCCAGCAGTTGAGCCTTTCGCCCTAATGCACAAGGCAAGTCCTGTCTGCCAACGGTAGCATCTTGTTCCAATTAGGGAAGGAACGTGATGGGAGGGTAGGGATTTTGGAGCTGAGCTCAGATTCAAGGGATATGTAAAGAATTAGCTATGAAGAGCTTCTCACTCACACTTTTCATATTCTCTAGGGTTCAGCCCCCAAATTTTTCCTCTTTTTAACATTTTGTCCTGCGTTTGCAAATAATAAATTACTAGTGCTTTGTGATCCAATTTTAAGTTTTTCTTGGTACTACAAAATACTGGTGTCAACCCTAGAAACACCTGAATTATAAACATTTAGAAAGTGTAACGTATTTCTTAATAGGTTAAATGTATTGTGTTTAGTAAGACCACTTTGAATCAAGTCACTTTCTTTGCCTTATAAATACGGTTTGTATTACATAAAAGGTAGTGCATATGAAATCTTTATCATCTCAATAAGTAATGTTCCAACTATTCAGTAAATAAATGAAGATCTAACTGCTGTGCTTAAAAACATTTGCTGAAGTCTTTTATGTTGTAATTGCTCTTTCAAGAAATTAGTATGTATGATAAGTTTGAGCATTATATCAATTATGTTTAAGGGGAATAGAAGCAAAGTAGATCAATAAGATTGGTATAAAAAAGCTGGGGGAGGCAGTTGGAGATAATGAAATGTCAATTTAGAAGGTATATTGAGCAGTTTGAAAGAGTTCGGTCTTGAGCCAAAGAAAATAAACTGAAAAAAAAGTATATGCTTGTCCATGCTAATGCAATTAGCTGTGAACCAGTCTTAG